CGCCAACTCGCCAAGGGCACCACCCGTCTGCTGGCCATCACTGGGGAGCAGGCCCAGCAGGTCAGCACGCCAGGGGGGCCTGGGAGGCTCTGAGTGGATGAGGAGCAGGGGACGCATATAGCTGACACTCTAAGGCTGGGGGATGCCCAGCCAAAGAACCAGTGTTTCTACACATGCACTGCAGGCAGTTGGCATTGTTGTGATTATTTGGTGCCGTCACGGGTCCTGATTATTAACTGTATCTAATTTGGCCCTGAGCAGCAATAGGTTCAGAGCCCTGAAAGTAAGCCAAGCAGCCCTGACCATCCTCTTCCTTCTCTGCAGGCACGAGAAGTGGGCCAGAGCCTGGCCCAGGAGGTGGAAGCAGCCACAGAGCGGCTGAGTCGGGGCAGCCGGGATGTGGTGGAGGCTCAGCAGCTGTCCAAGGACATGGGACGACTCACCGATGTGAGGGCTGTGTACACACGCACACACCCTTGTCCTTATACTGCGCCCTTCCCCATGCCTCCCTGGACCCTTCCCGTCTCTTCCAGCTTTCCTGTTGGACTCCAGCTGGCCTAGATGTTTGTCTTTTGTCCGCAGGGTGGGCCGTGGTGGGTGTGGTCTCTTCCCTGGTCCTGCTGGACCTGCCTCAGGGACTGTGGCTCAGGCAGGGGTAAGGATGATACACTGCTTTTGGCCACAGGCTGTGGACACTGCTGTGATGCCCCAGTGGCAGCGGCGGGAGCTGCAGGCCGCACTGAAGGTGCTGCAGCGGCGCGCCAACACTGCTGTCCGGAAGCTGGAAATGAGGCAGGTAGGAGGGTGTGGCCGCACCCATGGGGCAGGTCCCAGGCACCCCAAACAAGGGTCAGAAACGCTCTAGTGTGAGCACAGAGAAGCCTCAAGGCCGAGAGTGGGGGTGGGTATCGGCTCCCTCTCCTGCCAGCTGGGCACCATCACGAGGCCCCCGCTTCCCTCTGCCAAATTATGTCTCCCCAACACCCGAGTTTGGTTCAGGCTTTCCCTCCAGGAAGCTAACTGATTATTCCATTGAGTCCTAATTACTCCTCAACTGTGCGTTCTCCTTCCTCCTGCCCCCTCTCCTCCATCTGTACTCCAGCCTTAGTCCTTCCACCTTCACTGACCTATTTGTCGGGGCCTGGAGCTAAGATGAAAGGGAGGAGGTGAGGGAGGAGAGGAAAGACCAGGTGGTACCCAAAAAAAGGAGGCCATTCTAGGTAGAACCCCTGGCCCTTCTGCTCAAAGCTAAAGACTTTTGCTGGGGGAGGGGATTTCTGGACTGGGGTTCAGTTCAGAAGTGAGGGCCAGTTTTCTTCCATGCTGACCCCTGTGCTGTCCTTCCTGCCCCACAGGCTGCACAGAAAACCCAGGAGCTGCTGCAACGGCACTCAGAGGGGCCCCTGATTGTGGACACAGTTTCCACCGAGTCCCTCTCAGTGAGTATCAGGGTTGGGGGTGGCCCCAGGGTCTGGGGAGGGGGAAGTCTCCACAAGGAGGTACCTGGGAGTCTAGGGGCTATGGGGCCACCATCTGCTCTCCCTTGCCCAGGTGCTGGTGAAGGTGGTCCGGCAGCTGTGTGAGCAGGTGCCCAGCACATCCGTGCTACTACTCAGCCCCCAGCCCCTGGGGCGTGTGCTGTGTGCCTGTCAGGTGGCCCAGGTGAGGGAAGTGGGAGAGCATCCCCCACCGCCCCATCTCCTAGTCCAGCCCTCTGATTCCACTCCCTTTATTACTCCCAGACGAGGGAGCCAAGACTGGGTGGAGGTGATCTATGAGGACACCCAGGACACAGATAGGGCCATCTCCTTGTCCCTAACCAGCACACACCCCCACCAGAGTATGCCATGGGATTCCCTAATTACCAGCCTCCCCCTGCAGGCTGCACGTCCCTTGCAAACAAGTAGCAGACATTCATCACCTCTTTATCCATTCCCAGCCCAACCCTCCCCTGTCTTCCCCCTACTCGCCCCAGGATGTGCCCTGCTGGGCAGGGTGTTCCAGTCACCAAGACTCCACTCTTGAGGGTATGTTGAGTGGTATGGCAGGGAGGGCGGCTCAGCATTGCTGTCCCTTCTGTTTCTATCCCCAGAGTCCCACGCCAGCTTTCACAGCAGAGGCCTGGGCTCTGGCCGTGTGCAGCCACATGGGGGGCAAGGCCTGGGGCTCTCCAGTGGTTGCCCAGGGCACTGGAAGCACGGCTGACCTGGAAGCTGCCCTCAGTACAGCCCGAGCCTACGCCCTCAACCAGCTCTGACCCAGGGACTCACATAGACTAAAGAGACAGGCCAATGACACTTACGGGTCAATTGCTGACTGTGGTGAGAACCAATCAAACAAAACTTCTGGAAGGAAGCAGCAGAACCCCCCTGGAGGATGAAGGGGAGAACTAGAGGCTGGAGGCCAAGCTGCTGAGCTGAAGAGAGCCAGCCTGGGCTAGGTCCTGAGTGGACACCAGGAGATGTGGGCTGGCCAAGCCAGAAGTGGGGCCAGGACACCCGCACTAAGTGGATGTCAAAACATGGTGTGTCCTAGCTGTAACTGTTCGTTAAAAAGTATTTCCCCAGCCCCGGCTGGTGTGGCTCAGTGGATTGAGTGCCAGCCTGTGAACCAAAGGGTCACAAGTTTGATTCCCAGTCAGGGCACATGCTGGGTTGCAGGGTCCCCATTTGGGGGGGTATGAGAAGCAACCACACATTAATGCTTCTCTCCCTCTTTCCTCTGCCTTCCCCCCTCTCTAAAAATAAATAAAATATTTTTAATAAAATATTTTAGAAATAAAAAGTATTTCCCAGAGGAGAGGAAGGTCTGAAGGTTCTCTCTTTAAAAAGATCAGGCTCTCCCCTCCCAGCAGCCTGGCGTGGGTGCTTCACCGCCAGTCTGACTCCTTGCACTGGGCTGAAAGGCGCCCAGGCATCCACATCAGAACCATCCCCTCACAGCCACAAATGCTCTGTCAGGCTCTCTGTGCCAGCCCGCTCTGGGCACCCACAAAGGCCTCCCTGGCCCCCAAGATCCAGAACTGTTGTGTGAAAGTCTTTATAGCAGGGCAGATCCTCTGGTTTCACTTAGTTGTCTAACAGTGACTTGTCTTACTGAAGGCTCTGGTGATTGGTTGATAAAATGAGTAACGGGGTACTTGTCAGTGGCTGAGAAGATGGTGAGAACCAGACAAAACTTCCTGTCGTTGTGGAGCTTCTAGTGGGAAGGAGGCAATAAGGAGAAAGAAGTCAGCTGGAGATGAGGTCTGTGAAGAAAGAGCAGACAGGACAGGGACAGTGGGGTGGTGGTATTTCTTCACTGAGAGGTGGTATCTGCAGGGAAAGCTGTCAGGCTGAGAGGACAGCCAGTGCAGAGGCACTGCGGGGGAGGAGGGCAAGCACAGTGAGCTGGGGGAGTGGCAGGTGATGGGGTGAAAGGGCAGGAACCAGAGCAACGCTGTTCTTTAAGAACAAGTTGCACAGCACCTGCCCCGTTAGGAGCTGAAGCTGAACGCCAGCAGCTCAGAGCAGGAAGGGGTGGAGGGATAGAGGGCAGTCTTCTCCACCCGAACAAGTTTATCCATGTCATAGTCGGGTACCGTAGCTCTGCCTCTTCCCGAATCCCTGTTGTTATAGGAAGGAAAGGACCTCAGGGGGCCCATCTTCAAGTCAAAGACTCCCTGGCTACCAATTTCTGGGGCTGTTTAATTAAAATTATCAGAGCAGAGCAGGCCCTCCCAGCATTTTTCCCTGCATGATTTCTCATTCTTTTGAGGCACCTGTGATTTGTTGGTAAATTCACTGTTAAGGGTTTGAAAGGGACCTGAACCCTCGTGTCCAGCCCTGACCACTTGCTCAGCTCTGTGGAGGTGCAAAGTTTGACCTCGAAGTCTTGGCAACTGCAGCAGCTGTAGTGGTTGGTGCTCTGCAAAGGTCCAGCTTTTTACACGTGGACACCAAGGTGAAGTATGGTACCCTCACTTTATTGATGAGTTAATTGAGCTTTTAAGATATTAATTTATCCATAGTAACCAATTAGTACAGTTTTCCCTTGAGGAACACAGGGGTTAGGGGTGCCAACCACCCATGCAGTTAAAAACCCACCCATAACAGACCTGCCCCTGCGTGTGTGCGTGTGTGCATGTGCAGCCACACGTCAGAAATGCATAATCGTCGGCACAGCCGAAATTAAAGCTAAACCGTCTCCCTGTGAAAAGTCCCTCCACCCTAGTTGCCTCGACCCTCCTGAAGGACAGCTTCTTTTTCTTCCTAGTGGAGTTGGTCACCCGTGCCCCTCAGGGCTGGGTGAGGGGCATCCTGTCCCTCGGGGCTGGCGGCGGTGGGGGGGAGCGGTGCGGGGAGGTTGACCTCGGGCGTACAGCTGTGTGAAGGAGAGCTGTGGAGGCTGGAACTTTCCTGCCTGCTGCCAGACATCAGCCTTGTTTACATCTTAGAGGAAGGTGGAAGGCGCTACTCCGCAGGGATGCTGCAGCCCACAGCTCTCCCACAGCGCCTGCCCCAGAGGAGTCCAGGCAACACCTGCAGCTGCCCTTCCCCCCCTCCTCATCTCCCAGAAGACCGACTGCTGATGCTTCTCCTGCACCGTCCTAGCACTCGCCATCCCCCACCACAAAAAAGGGTCCAAGAAGGAACAACACTCCAGGGACCCTGGCCGGGGCCCCCACTCCTCACCTTCCCCCACAAAAGCCCACCCATTCCTAAACACGTCCCCCAGAAGCACCAAATATGCCCCACGGTCACAGAGTTCCCCCTGCCTGTACAGCAGCCGCACACAGCACATTAGCCAGAAACTTCCTTGAGTCAACCCCGTGCCAAGGCACATAATGACAGCCATCAAAGGACAGCCTTGCGCCATCCAGGCACCCGGTGGAGACTTGGTGCGCAGGCGGGCAGACAGGCACGTGTGCACGCAGGCCCTGAACCCGCCCCCTGGAGACGTGGGGCGTCCCTAACGACCAGCGGGACCTTGCGAGAGCCTGCCGAAAGGCGAGCGCCTGGGGACCAGGAACCGGTGAGGCAACCTCTGGGAAAGAGAACGCTCAACTCCCGGTCTCCCTTATCGCGCTGAACTCTCCTGGCCCCGTCCCCATTCCTGCCTTCGACCCACCCAGGCCTAAAGCCCACAGGGAGCCCCAGTCTTGGCTCCCACTTTTCGAGTGGCGGGCAAGGGCTGGTCTGTAACTTCAGGAGGCTCCCCAACCCCCACCCATTTGAGGTGGGACCAGTGCCTCCTCCCCTGCTACAGTCACTGTCTGCAAACTGGCCCAAGGCTTAGGGTTTGCGCGCAAGGGGAGGCGGGTACCCTGAGAAGGAGGAAGCGGGAAGTGGGCACTGGGCAGGTCGTGGAGGAGAGCAGTTATAAGTGCCGGGCCCCAATCTTCTCAGAAAGGCTGACCCCCACCCTAGATCCCGTGGACTGCGATCCCTCCTGCGGGCCAGAAGCCAACGCACCTCGCTCCCATTGCAGGGCTGGTTTCCCTAGGTTACCTAGGAGAACCAAGGGCCTCATCCCCCTAGGCAGTTGGGGGAGGGCCTCTCTGACCTTTGGCGCTGAGATTCCCCGCAGGGAGTCTGAGCCGTTGGGAGGGAAGAGCTGTGGGGAGTGGAGGCACTAGAGTGCTTTTTAAGGCTACAGACCTAAAGAGGCAGGAGTGGAAGCAGGGTCAGGCCCAGGGGCGTGAGAAGGGCGCTGTTTTACTCACCAGGGACCAAGCAGGCTGGGCCCAGGCTCTGTCAGAGAAACTTTTTTGCCTCTCTTTTGTGATTCCATTAATTGGGAATTCCCAAATGAGAATTTGGGAGTGACCTGGCCTGAGACAGGGTGTGACGTAGTCGTGGTTGGTGTGAAAAAAATAGAGGAATGTAGACAAAAGCCAGGGGTGCTGAGGACAGGTGCCTGGGGTGAAAGAGAGGCTGAGTTTGAAGGCACAGGAAGTACCAGAGCAGGGAGCGGAGCACTGGGGGCCCAGTGGGTGCTGTGTCAGGTGACCTATCGGAGTGTCCAGGGGCACTCTGGTTACGTCTTCAGAGGGCCTTCAGAGGTCCGGGGACTTCAGCTTCTCAGTTCAGGGGAAGGCAGCTGAGGACAGCTGAGGACAAGCAGGAGGGGGGGGTGGCTTCCTCCAGCACCTTCAACTTTCCCATTTGGGCAGGCGGGAGAAGCCTCTGCCCAAAGTGCTTCTATTTAGCTGGGGACTTCAGAAGGGTAGAGGAGGTCTGAGTCTTCCTCTGAGAGGAGGGAATGTGCTAGAGATTCAAGCTTTGAATCCTAGGTCTGTGAAGAATGTCGAGGGCAGCGTGAGCTGTGGGGAAGGAGAGCAGAGTTCTGAGGATTCTTATGGGTCCCCATGGAGCATTAAACTGAAGGATACAAGCAATGATTCAGTTCTGTGGAAAGACCCAGCATCTGGCAGTGATGTAGAGAGTTGAGGAAGCCTGGGCTGTTCAGCTCAGCACCAAAAGGGGACCCCCACACTCCACGCCGGTGACAAGATGAGAGAGTTTGTGAGAAAGTGGGAGGTCCACTGGAAAAATGCTGTGAGCCACCAGTCTGGGGCATTTAGAAAGCAACCCCAACACCTTATTACTTGTTATGCTTTTATTCATGAAACTAAGAGAGCCTCAGGCAGACACCAGCTCAAACTGTAGCTTCCCCACCTACTCGCTGCCTGAAGCTTAGCAAGTTACTTAACCTTTCTAAGAGTCTGTTTCCTCATTTGTGAAATGGGGATAATGATGTTATAACAACAATAATAATCCTCAAGAATAAATCTGAAGATTTAATAAACTTGGGTAAGCCATCTCTAACATCTTCACCGTAATATCTGACACATCTTGAGCGCTGGCTCTGAGCCCAGCACTACAAGTATACAAACGCCTCACTCAGTTTGATCCTTAATCCTCTGGCTAACCCTACGAAGGTACCATTGATTACATCCCCACTTATTGAGAAAGAAGTGGAGGTTTAATGAGGTAAAATGACTTGCCCAAGGCCTCTCAGATGCTAGGGGGCAGAGTGGAGATTTGACCTTAGGTAGTAAAACCCCTGAACCCTTAGTCAGCCGCTACACTGGGACCTGCTCTGCACATGCTGTTGCAGCTTAGAAGACAACAAATAGTAAGCAGCTCTGCGTAGGCAAGGACACAGTTCCCAGAACGCTTGTCCCCCAGACACAAGCCTTCAAAACTAAAGACAGCGCTAACCAAACGGGGTCCTCTCATCACTTACGTCACCTGTGCTTGGGCCTGTCCAAAGCAGACCTTCATCCCTAACGCTTTGAGTTGTGTCCTGAAAGTGGTTACAGGACCCTGGACCCTGGTTGAGGACACAGTGTGGGGACCTGGGAGGAGGAGATGTGGCCTTTCTCCAGGGACTGTGGTCCCGGGCTGGGTTGGACTGATGCTGGAGGCACTGCCGGTGAAGCCCAGCAGGCCTGTGAGACAGGCTCCAGGAGGTGAAAGGTCACTGGGCACGTCCCCACTTTCTCCAGCCCTTAGATGAGGAGGCCAGATGGTGGCACAGGAGGCACCCAGTCCTGTGGCCCCAACCTTCTCTCTGAAATGTCAGAGAGAATTCCTGCCTTGGAGAAGGACCAGAGTCTTGACCACACTTTCAGTCTTCAAACTCTGGGACTTTCTGACTGCCCCGTGGGTTCCTCGGGGAAAGAATGCTCCACACAGTAAGGTGACTGCTCTGTCACTTCTGGGATTATCCTCCATGGGCCCTTGGGGGCTGTCTGGAAGTCCCTCGCCCCTGGCTGCTACATGTCTACCCATCCCTGCAGGCTTCCGGGGAGAATAGTGCCACCTACTACCACTCAGCTGAACACTGGTGAGGCCCAGGCCAGATTAAGGCCTCCCTGTAAGTAGGCGGAGCTATCTCAGGGCTCCTGCCTACTCATTCTCCCTGAGCCCGCCCCCCTCCTTCCAACTCTGCGGCACACTTTTCTTCCCCACCCCCTAACTTGGTTTTGGGTTTGAAACACTCGCACCAAGGCATGGATGATTGATAATAGGATATATAAATTCTGTACTCTTAGATTGTCAGCATAATGGGTCAAAGGGCTTCTACATTTTCTAGTTTGCAGCATTAGTGTCTGTACATATTTCATACTTCACTATGTTTGACCTAAAATGGTGAGATGCACTTTTAAAAAGCAGTTCAAGGTTAATATATAAGAACATACCCATGTGTGTAATATTAAGATTTTGTTTCATTGAGGGGGAAGTCCATTTTATTTTTTTAAGATTTTATTTGCTTTTAAAGAGAGGGAAGGGAGATAGACAGAGATGGAGAGAAACATCGATCAGTTGCCTCTTGCACGCCCCCAGTGGGGGGTCAGGCCCACAACCCACGCATGTGCCCTGACCAGGGACTCAAACCAGCAACCTTTCGGTTTTACAGGACAAGGCCCGACCCACTGACCTACACCAGTAAGGGTAGGAAGTGCATTTTAATGCAACAGGATGAAAGTCTTACGTTAGGGGCCTGAAATTCCCACAGTGAGGCGCCAAGGCCTGGTTGCTCTCCCAGGGTGGGTGGCCCTCCCTGACAGGTCCTGTCTGCGTGAAGATAGGACCCCTACCTCCCAGTGGACGTGCTTTCTTCTTTCTCAGTGGAGAGTAGGAAGGTGTGGGGAAGGAGACACACCAAGTGATTGTCAGAGAGCGGTGCATCAAGCTTAGGACAGCAGCCTGCCCTCAGGCCCCGGCCCGGCCCCAGCCCAGCCCCAGCCCTCCCAGGTGTGTTAGGGCCAGTTATTTCCTGCTCTGGTCCTCAGTCTCTTCCCTGGTAGAATGGGGCTACAAAGCCTGTCCTGCCTCCACTGTAGAGTGTTTGTAAGAGTCCAATGGGAGGAGAGTGCTGAAAGGCACTTGCAACTGTTACGTGCTGAGCAGATGTTAGCTGTAGGCAACGGCCCTATGGCTGGAGAGATGGGAGGTAAAACGGGAGGCTTGGGATTTTCAGGAGAAAAAGAGGCCACGGGAGATAGATATCCGTCCCTGTGTACAGTAACCTGGGAGCCTTTGGCTCTTTTCAGCCATCCCACTGAGCTATTCTACCTGCAGATTTAGGATTTTTCCCATAATTTAATTCACCAAACAGTGGGCCTATCAAAATGGTCAGGACCCTTTGTTCAGAAAGGTGTAGTAACCCACCTCTTGGCTTCAGCAAAAGGGACTCCTTAGAAGATGCCAAGTTAGGTCGCAGAACTGAAGGAACCGCTGAGAAATCCAGCAGTTCTGGGGCCTCAGGGACTGGGACTGGGGACTGAAGGTAGCCAGGTGCTCTCTGTTCACCTCTCATTCCTGCTGGCCTCCACCTGGCAACTCTCCCCTACTGCAGACAGGTCTTTCCATGGGAAGGGAACCAGCTGCCTGCAGTAGGGGATCCATATCCTTCAAGGACATATGTCCTTCTGTCTACCTCTGCTTGGACAAGCCCCAAGCAGGGCTCTGATTGGCCTGTGGCAGGTGGCCACCCTGAACCAATCACTCTGGCCAGTGTAGGATACCCCTGTTGGCCAGAATCCATTACCAGAAGCGGGTGGAGCAGGCCAAAACAGCAGCTATCCCACCTAATGCAGACTGATGGACACTGGCTATGGACCAGAGCCCAAAATGAGTAGCAAACAGTCCCTGCACCCCAAGGGGCTTACAGTCCAGTGTGCCTGTGGGGAGAGAGTAGTCAGTCACATCACCGAAGTGACACAAGCACTGGGAGTGCCATATGGGGAGGGACTATTTAGGGGATGGGGCATGAGAAAGGCTGTAAGTCTTCAGAAATGAAGTGGTACTTGAGCTCAGTCTCCAAAGGCTCCCTGCTTCCTGAGCTGAGCTGGCGGGAAAGGCATTCCAAGCAGAGGGAACCGTATGAGCAAAGGCTGGGCAGCTTGAACTAGCCTGACTTGTTCCAGATGCAAAGAGAGTGTCCAGTGCACAGGGTGCTTTCTATACGGAGGTGAGGAAGCTGAAGTGTACCCAGTGAGCAGTGGTGAGCCACCAGGGGCCTGCCCTGGCAGCTGTGGGAAGGCTAGGTGTGAGGGGACCACACTGGATGACAGACCCAGGTGCTGGGCAGCCACAGCTATGATCCAGGCACACCATGAGGTCCTGAGTTGAGAGAGCAGCAGGAGGGAGACTGTGGTGCTGAGGTGGGAAGCAGAAGGGAAAAAGCTCCAACAGTAAGCAGATGTCGGGGCTAGAAAGAGAGCACTGACGCCCAGCTTCTGATTGAGGCATCTGGATGGACCATGGTGCCCCTGGCCAAGGTAGGGAGCCAGGAGCAGCTTGGGGGAGGCACTGAGTTTTCTTGCAGGGCAGTTGAGTTTTAGGGAGCAGGCAGGCAGGCCAGTGGACCTAAGCCTGGAGCCCAGAGGAGAGCAAGAGCTGAAAACCAGCAACAGTAGTGAGGCAGGGTGACTGTGCAGAACTCTGAGGAGCCACAACACGTGAGGAGTGGGCAGAGTGCAAGGAGCCTTCGCTGGAGACTCTGAGAAAGAACGATGAGACAGGTGGGAGGGGAGCCAAGAGGGTGGCAACCTGGTGGTGGTTAAGAGGGTGAAGGTCAGGGTCACAACCTGCCGGGGAGGGGGCCATACCATATCATCTTTATAACATTAATAACAAGGAGACAAAAAGTTCATTCATATCCTTTTAAATATACTTTGTTTTATATTTTATTAGTTTTCAATAATAGATTTTTTTTTAATATGGAACTAAATTTCTCCTTAGAAGGATCCTCTGTGCCCTGGCCAGTGTGGCTTGTTAGTTGGAGCATGGACCCATAAACCAAAAGGTTGCATGTTCGATTCCCAGTCAGGGCACATACCTAGGCTGTGGGGTCAGTCCCCAGCAGAGGTGCGTACCAGAGACAACCATTTAAAGTTTCTCTCTCACATCCATGTACCTCTCCTTCTCTCTCCCTCCCTCCCCTTCTTTAAAATCAGTAAGCATGTCCCAGGGTGAGGATAGAAAGAAGAAGAGTCCTTTGTGTCAGGTAATCAATTGCTTGCCAAAAAAATATTTTGTAACATCTATTTTGGAAAATCTAGAGTTATTAAGTGGAAACAATCAACCTTGACCTTATTATGAGGCTAATGGTCTCAATATTTGCCTTACAAATGACAGCAGACCTGGCGATATATGGACATGACTGTACAGAGGTAGGGGTGGTTTTTTTATACCAGCCATGCACACAGAGACCATGAAGGGATGCTCTGCCTTTTTCTTTCCTGGAAGTGGCTCTAGACTCTGGGGCCTACCCTGGGTCTCGTCTTGCAGTGTTTTGCCCAGAGGAGTCTGCAGGATCTAAACAGCAGCAAGAGAGATTAGAAGTATCTCAGGAAGAATCTGAGTCCTGAGACAGTGAGGCATTAGTCAGGAAGGCTGGGCCCACCTATTTCCTGGACCCAGGTAGGGGTGCCCAACACATGGCCTCCCAGGATGGTGAGGCCTGACGGTATTGTAAGTAATGCCCGGGGAGTGGTGGGCACCAGGGCAGCATCCACCAGTCACCTGGGGCTTCCCCTGTTAAACTGGGTCTCGATTCCTTGGCTGTGCTCACAGGTTATCTTGGTATGCATTGGGAAAGGGGAATACAGGAATGTTTCAGGCCAGGACTTTGGAGGGAGCCCTGATGCAGAGCTAGTAGGAACAGGGCTGGTCTGTTGTCTATTTTCTTCTTTTGCCCAGATGGCCATCCTTTCATCCAGCCCCAAACAAAGCCACAGCCACATTGCTCTTCACATCCTCTCTGAAGATAGGGAAGGGCCTCACTCAAAGATACCATCTCAGGTTAGCATTCAAGAAGCTGGTGTCCAGGGTATCCTCTCCCCAGCCTAGGACCCCTGTCCATCACAGTGCCTTCATCCTCCACCACACCCTACAGTACTCTTTACAAATAGTATCAATAATATTCAAATATTATTTTAGACCAATCCCCACAATGCTTGCATGGGAAGGTATTGTTATCCCATTTTACAGACAAGGACTGAACTCAGATAGGTTAAGTAATTTGTACAAAGGTCACACAGCAAGTCACTGGAAAAGCCAGAAATGTAAAGTTCCAGCCAAGATAGAGGTGTAGGTAGATAGGCTTCACTTCCTTGCACAACCAACAGAAGGATAACAATCAATTTTAAAACAAAGAACAATCAGAACTACCAGAAAATTGAACTGTATGGAAGTCTGACAACCAAGGAGTTAAAGAAGAAACATTCATCCAGACTTATAGGAGGGGTGGAGATTGGCAGCTGGGGGCAGAGAGGACATGTGGCAAGGCTGCAGCTGATGGATCAGGTGGTCCCACACTTGCGTGGGGATAAGCCAGGAGGAACAACTGGGGAGAGAGACAGATCACGAAACTAAAGCCTCAAAACCTCTGGCTGTATAAATCCGTGGGGGTTGAGGCAGTGGGAGAAACTGGTAGTCCCACAGGATAGTCTGTTGGAGGGGCCCACGGGATCCTAGAATATATACAAACCCACCCCCTCCGGAATTAGCACCAAGGAAGCACCTCAAAGGTCTCAATTCACTTGTGGATAGATAGCAAAGGAAGTGACTGAAAGCGGGGTGAGAACTGAGCAAGTGAGCAAGTGGCATTGTTCTGACCCCTCCCCCACATACAGTGCCATAACACCGAGACAACAGGGCTGCCCTGCCCTGACAAATACCTAAGGCTCCACCCCTAATGACGTCACCGATACGCCGAGACAAAGGAATATGACCCAAACAAAAGAACAGATCAAAGCTCCAAAAATACAACTAAGTGTTGAAGAGATAGCTAACCTATCAGATGCAGAGTTCGAAACACTGGTGATCAGGATGCTCACAGAAATTATTGAGTATGGTCACAAAATAAAGGCTATGCAAAAGTGAAATAAAGAAATATATACAGGGAACCAACAGTGAAGGGAAGGAAACTGGGTCTCAAGTCAATGATTTGGAGCAGAAAGAAGAAATAAACAATCAGCCGGAACAAAATGAGGAAACGAGAATTCAAAAAAATGAGAAGAGGCTTAGGAACCTCCAGGACAACTTTAAATATTCCAATATCTGAATCATAGGGGTGCCAGAAGGAGAAGAGGAAGAACAAGAAACTGAAAACTTATTTGAAAAAATAATGAAGAAATACTTCTCCAATTTGGTGAAGAAAATAGACATGCAAGTCCAGGAAGCTCAGAGAGTCCTAAAGAAGCTGGGTCCAAGGAGGAACACACCAAGGCACATCATTACATTACCCAAGATTTAAAATAAAGAGGAAATCTTTTTTTTAAAGATTTTGTTTATTTATTTTTAGACAAAGGGAAAAGGCAGGAGAAAAAGGGGGAGAGAAACATCAATGTGTGGTTGCCTCTCACACACCCCCTACTGGGGACCTGGCCCATAACCTAGACATGTGCCCTGACTGGGAATGGAATCAGTGACCCTTTGGTCACAGGCCATCTCTCAATCTACTGAGCCATACCAGCCAGGGCAAAGAAAAGGAGAGAGTTACCTACAAAGGAGTTCCCATAGATGATCAGTTAATTTCTCAGAAGAAACCTTACAGGCAAGAAGGGACCAGGAAGAAGTATTCAAGGTCATGAAAAGCAGGGACCTACATCCAAAATTACTCTATCCAGCAAAGGTATCATTTAGAATGGAAGGGCAGATAAAGTGCTTCCCAGATAAGGTCAAGTTAAAGGAGTTCATCATCACCAAGCCCTTATTATATGAGATGGTAAAGGGACTTATCTAAGAAAAAGAAGATCAAAACTATGAACAGTAAAATGACCACAAACTCACAGCTATCAACAACTGAACCTTAAAAAAAATGAACTAAACAAACAACTAGAACAAGAACAGACTCACAGAAATGGAGATCACGTGGAGGGTTATCAGCAGGAAGGGGAGGAGGGAGAATGGGGGGAAAGTTACAGAGACTAAGAAGCATAATTGGTAGGTAGAAAATACACGGGGAGGTTAAGAATAGCATGGGAAATGGAGAAGCCAAGGAACTTGCATGTACAACCCATGAACGTGAAGTAAGTAGTGGGGCATGCTGGTGGGAGGGGAGATACAGGATGGAGGTGGTTAAAGGGGAGGAAAAAATGGGACAACTGTAATAGCATAATCAATAAAATATACTTTCTGCCCTGGCTGGCGTAGCTCAGTGGATTGAGCACGGGCCTGCAAACAAGAGAGGATCGTGGTTCAATTCCCAGTCAGGGCACATGCCTGGGTTGCAGGCCAGTTCCCAACAGGGGATGCATGAGAAGCAACCATACATTGATATTTCTCTCCCTCTCTCCTTCCCTTCCCCTCTAAAGATAAACAAATAAAATATTTAAAAATAAAAATTAAAAAAATGAGTAAATAATAACATATTCTTTCTTAAAAAGCCAGAAATGTGAAGTCACCTGCTATCTCTGAGCAGCATCCCCTCCCGGTTGTACCCTCTGAGGGGCCACCAGTCAGAAAGTATAAGGTGTTTGTGCCACAATTCTGGACATGATCTGTTAATTCCATTTGCTTTGCATAAGAGTGTCACGAATACACATATACCTTCCCTGCAACCCCCACCCCATCTTCCTCTCTCCTCTTTTTCTCTGTCTCACTTGCTCAGATGCTCAGAGCCAGGCTGTCCGCCTTGAGATTCTCGGCGGTCCTGGGGAGCACCATCTGTTCTCCTCCATCTGCCAAGGACACCTTTGCTGGTTCAGAGTGTTCCTTCCCACCGGCCACTCCACAGGGCCCCACGTCAGGGAGCAAATCTGAGGGAGGCTGACTGGGGCAGTCGCTGCATGCCGGGAAGCCCCATTTCAGCCCACGCTCTTAGGGCAGGGTCTCCAGCCCCAGACACATCCTCTGCCTTCTGTCTTCAGCCCCAGATTTAGCTGCCTTTCCACCTCCCACGACTTCCTGCTGCGGTCTGGAATGCTGGGAGGCTGGAGAACTGGAAGGAAGACTGGGATGGGGAAATTGAAGGGAGGGGGCCCAGAGCTCCAGCTCTCAGAGGGGAGGAGGAAAAGAAGGTGCCTGCACCCTGGACGGGGCGCCGGTCCAGTTCCCTCTCCCCTTACTCTCTCAGCTGCACTGTCCAAAACAGTAGCCACCAGCTACTTTTGATAGTAAAGGCTTTGTATGAATAAATAAATAGAAAATGCCTCAGTAATTATTATATTGATGTCATATTTAGATAATGTTTTGGACATATTGAGTTAAATGTAAAATTAATTTCACCTGTTTCTCTTTATTTTTTTTAATGTGACTCCTAGAGAATCTAAAGTAGTATATGTGGCTCGCCTTACATTTCTGTTGGCCAGTGCTGGATGCATTCACCTCTCCCAGTCGTCTTATTCTGTTACTCTCATTCACAGAGGAGGCATCTGAAACTCAGAGAGGTTCAGTAACTCGTCCAAGGCCACACAGCTAGTTAGAGGGATTTGCTCCTGAATCTGCTCTACTCCAGACTGGACCTTAAGAACCACTCTGTGCTACCTCTGTTGATACAGGCCTACCAACACCCTCCAAAGTAACAGCTCTATCCCCTCCTCTGGCTCCAGATTCTTACCAGCATCAAGGACCTACGAAGGAGTCTCCTGTCACCATGTTGCCAGTCACCGGCACGCAGGAAGTCGTAACATCGACAGCCTCACCTCCCAGCCGGTCCTTTCCCTCCACCCAGGACCGGCCCACCACTGCAGGCCAAGCTTTGAGCTCAGGCTCAAAGGTCTCAAAGTCCTCAGCCGTCCCACCCCCCGTGAAGTCCAAGGGCCTGAATTCTGGAGCCCTTGTACGTCAGATGCGCAGGATCATCGCCGAGGATGCTGAGTGGTCCCTGGCCACCGTGCCCCTGCTCACAGAGCTCTGCATTCAGCACATTGTCAAGAACTTCAAGAGTGAGTCGGTTCCTGCTGGTGGCAGGAGGGAGAAGGCCAGGGGCTGGGCACAGTGGGTGGGGACGGCCTGGAGGAGAGGCCTCAGAGGCTGGGTCCTGGGGCAGCCCCTGCCCTCCCACACAGAGTCCTCATCCCTACTCAACGCTTCCCTTCGCCCCATGGAGTCAAGACAGTTTCTCCTGCTGCCTCCACTTCCAGGCCCCACTAGACTCTTACCCGCAGTGAGTCTCCAGGACTATACATACCCTCTCCTCACCTTCCCTACTCTCTCCAGCAAAACCCCGCCCAAGCCCTATCTACCTCCTCCCCTAGAGAACCCTCCCTGGTGGGCTGACCTTTACCCTCTCGGAGTCTCCTGTGGTGTGTATATTTCCTTGGTTTCTTCTGTGCAGTGTGTGCTGCCCATGCTCATCCTTTTCAAAGACAAATCGCCAGCCTCTCCTCGTGGGTAGGAGCTCTCTAAGGACAGGGCTGTGATTCTGTCTGCAGCGTCTGTCACCTCCTAACCTACGAGTTTGAGTTGTGTGTTGTCTGACTCCCCTCACGGGAGGGAGCGGCTGCCTCTGCTCCACTGCCTTTTATGCCCGCGGCACTCAGAACTGTGTCTGGCAAATATCAGGTGCTAGAAGTTTTTGCTCGTTTGTTTTGAAATGCATGAATCAAATCAAATTGGGAGCCTCCGAAGTCAGGGTTGTTCCCTCCATCAGACTGAGTGATGACTGGGGGCTGGACCTAAGATTCTTTCTTTATTTCCTGAGACCAGAGACTAAGATGTTCACTTTCAGGCGAGGAAAACCCCTAAAGCCAGGGGCTATGTCTTCCCTATCAGCCTGAGACTCCCTGAGAGTAAGGTCTGCCTCCCCTCAGACTGGGGACCCCTGGAGGTAGGGGAGGTTTTCCCATCCCCTCGGTGCCCCCGGGCCCACCCAGCCCAGGACACCATGTGCTGGTTTCCCCAGCACTGTGACTTCTGCTTTCCTCCTTCTGTTCCCAAAGACAACCCTCTCCTGAAGAAGCTGCTCCCACAACACCAGCAGAAGGTACTGAAGCTTCTGTCCCCTGACCTGCCCCTGGCTGTGACTGCCAACCTGATCGATGATGAGAGCTACTGGCACCGCTGCTGTGTGCTGCGCTGGCCTGTGTGCCACTTGGACTCCCACGGCAGCTGGAAACGCGTGTTCTTCGAGCGGCACCTGGAGAATCTGATAAAGCACTTCATCCCGGGCACCACGGACCCCGCCGTGATCCTCGACTTGCTGCCACTCTGCAGAACCTATGTGCGGAGGATCCGTGTGGACCAGTTCCTTCCCCCGGTGCAGCTACCATCTCGGCCACACAGTGCGGGGGACCAATCCGACTCCGGCAGCGAGGGAGAGATGGACGAGCCCACCATGGACCACTACCAACTGGGTGACCTGGTGGCCGGCCTGAACCAGCTGGAGGAGCTGGACCTGGTGTATGGTGTCAAGGACTGCGGCATGAACTTCGAGTGGAACCTGTTTCTCTTCACCCACCGTGACTGCCACTCCTTGGCAGCTACCATTAAGGCATGCCACACCCTCAAGGTACTGGCGGTCCCCTCCCCCCAGCCTTCCCCCATTCCCATTCTCCGCATCTCTCTGATTCCCTCTCACCTCCTCTTCCTCAGCTATCATCATCTTCCTCCTCTCGTTTTCTTATTCACTGACCGACTGTCCCTTCCCCGCACCCTGCACCCAGCTGGGTTCCTGGGCCCCAGAGATGAACAAGGCATTGCCCTCCCAGTTCCCCAGCTATTTATTCATTCAACAAACATCTGCACCCTGGGCTCTGTCCTAGGTGCTGAAGAGTCAGCATTGAGCAAAATTACACCATTTGTGCCCTCTGGAGCTAACTGTCTAGTGCAATAAAAGACACTAATCAGCAATCATGTGAATGTAAAACTGCAGCTAGGATATCTGCCAGATTTAGCACACACACACACACAAAACCAGGGCATCCAGCTAAATCTGAGTTCCAGATATACATTGAGTGATATTCTAGTATAAATAAGTCCCAAATGTTCTGATTGGTAGTGGGAGAGCCTGCCAGGAAACCAGAAAGGAAGAAAAGGGGACGTGGCATGTGTCCCCGAGCCGCCGGGGGAGGGCGAGTTTCAGGAAGAAGAGGTGAGCAGCAATGGGGTGGGTGGGGCTGGGGGCCAGGTTTGGCAACATGTAGGTTACTTGATGGGGGGAGGAAGGAGCTGTGTCGGCAGGTGCCAGGAGCGACGGCCAGACTCCAGATTGCAGTGGTTTATGGAGAGAGTGGGAAGTGAGGAAACTGGATGTCTGCGATCCACTTTTCCAAGAACTTGGCTGTGAAAGGGGAGAAAGGTAGGATAGAAATAGATGAGGGTTTGGGGTTTTCTTAAGAAGAAACTTGCGTGAGTGTAAAACCAATGTAGATTTTCATCCAGTTGCAGGATATGGGTTGAGTCTGGGATGGAGGTGCAGGTCCATTGACCACAAAGGGCTCCTGAGAAAGCAGGAGGGGTGGGATTCGGGACCGAGGTGGGGCGGTCGGCTCTGGGAGGGGAGAGTGGAGGAAAATCGGGGGTTCCTATTCACTGGCTGTGGAGGCAGCAGGAGATTCACCTGCTGGCTGGAGGCTTTAGGGTGGTCCCTGAAGTCTGAGGAGGCTGCGGAAGGTTGAAATTGATGTAGATTATGAGAGGACATGTTGGCCAGAGAAACAGAACTGAATCAGCACACAGCCTTGAGGAACAATGGGTGGCTCCAATGAGACCAGCCAGTTCCATCGCGTAACGTTTTCCATCACGTCAGTGGCCCGGGCACAGAAAATAGACAGTGGGCTGGGTCCAAGGTTGGAGTTTTGCCAGATGGATGCCATGAAAAGGTGAGAAAGACAACGGACTCTAAGCTGGCTAAGAGCAGTTAAAAGAAAGGAGAAGACTGAAGGATAGAGACTAGACAGGCCAGCCACTCTGAGGTCTCAAGGAAGAGAAAGGAGTGGAATGAGCCAGTGAGAAGAAAAGGGATAAGGGTTCCCATCTCTCATGTTCATAATGCTGCCCTACACCTTTTCTTTTATCTGTTCACTTCACCCCATCCTTTCCCACTTTCTCCTTGGTTCTTTCCCTGGCAATCTCCTTTGAAAAGTTCCTCTCCTTGCCATGGTGGATCTTAGCCCGCTGAAAAGGGGGCAGCAAGGGACTGCTGGGTCAATCGGACCCGGATTCAAAACTTGCCCCCATACCTTAACCACAGCGTGACTCTGGGCACATGATATGTCTGCCCTAAGCCTCCATTTTCTGTCTGTAAAATGGAGATAACTTGTTCTACCTCACCGGGACGCTGAGGGTGAGAGATGGTGGCTGGGAACTGTCCTAGGGGCATGTCCAGCACATAGTAATTTCTCAAGAAATTGTAGCCTTCTCCCCCTACTACCTGCCACCAATTCTGTACCACTCTGCCATGCCGGGTACACCTGCCCCGCCCAAGAGCCAGCCAGGTGGCCAACACAAGGTGAACAGAACCTCAGGCCTCCCTTTGGCTCCCTCCTCTACCTGCAGAAGGGAGGTAGGCTGGCAGGTTACCCCTGGCTACCAAGTGCTATGGATGCTTTACTTGCCCACAGATCTTTCGGCTGACCCGAAGCAAGGTGGACGACGACAAGGCACGCATCCTAATTCGAAGCCTGCTGGACCACCCAGCCCTTGAGGAGCTGGACCTGTCACACAACCTCATTGGGGACCGTGGCGCCCGTGCCGCCGCCAAGCTGCTGAGCCACAGCCACCTGCGTGTGCTCAGCCTGGCCAACAACCAGGTGCGTGCGCCTGGTGCCCAGTCTCTGGCTCACGCTCTGGCACACAACACCAACCTCCTTTCTCTCAACCTTCGCCTCAACTGCATTGAGGATGAGGGCGGCCAGGCACTCGCCCACGCCTTGCAGACCAACAAGTGCCTCACCACGCTGCACCTCGGGGGCAACGAGCTTTCTGAGCCTACAGCCACTCTCATCTCCCAGGTGCTCTCTGTCAACACCACGCTCATCAACATCAACCTGTCCTGCAATCACATAGGACCGGTGAGCCACAGGTCCTGGGGCAGGAAGGGCCACGGAGAGGCCCTCGGCCTTGAGGGTGGGGGTGGAATCCAGCGGTCATGGGGCACTTACCAGGCAATTGTTAAGATTACAGACTTTACCTGGATCCAATGCCAGCTCTGCCATTTAGCACCTCGGTTAAGTTACTTAATGTTTTGGGGCCTCCATTTTCTCATCTGTAAAATGGGGATAATAATGTTATGTACTTCTAAGTGTTGTTCCTGGGAAGATTAAATGAGTTGTGCTTGCAAAGCAGTTAACCATTGCAGGCACAGTCTAGGTCCTTGGTAAGTGCTAGCTGTTGCTACCACTCAAGGCTGTGTGAGTATGTTGTGCTTGGTACCCAGTATCCATTATTTTCCCTTAATCCTCACAGTTATCTAGTAAAATGCGTATTTTTAAACCCACTTTACAGATGGAAAATTGTCTCAGAGACATCAGTGATTTGCTCAAGAGCATCCAATCAGTAGGAAGTGGCAAAGCTGTGATTAAACCCAGGACTGATTGAAAGCCAGGGTCCCTTCCAATAGATAAGGTTTCTCAGATTGTCTTGATTAAGTCTCACAGTAAGCAATGCAATTTACATGAATACCTAGTGAACATATACATGGATGTAACATAATTGAAATTTACTTTTACTGCTCAGTATGTCTGCTGATGTTTTCCTTTACAGTCTATTTTTTTAAAAAATAAATGCTTCTGATGATGTTGACTTTGCAACACACGATTGGGTCAGAACCACAGAGCAGCAGCTCTGCCTCCCAACATGAAATTCCTTCGCATTGGGCCGCGCCCACCCACCCCAGGAGGGGCTGAAGCTGTGAGGAGTGGGGAGGAGGCCCCTCTGGGTACTTCAGTTAAGGCCCTGCACCTTCTACCGAACCTCCCCAGACAGCAGCCTTGCTCACACTCGCACTGTCTCCGAAGGGGGTGCTCTTGGACTTGGCCTAAACAAAGGCCAGTATTCCTTGTGGGCCGTTATCAGAAGCCCCAAGGTAGGGATTCTGGGGTTGGAAAATTCCTTGGCACAGTGCCAGCCTCTGCTCTGCCCATCCCAGCCACGTGGCCATGGCCTCTCTGGCACTCCTCTTGGGGTCCCAAGATGGCTACTGCAGCTCATAGACAGAAGAGAATGAATGTCAGTGTGCTGCACAATTATGCTAAGCACTGTTTTGTGGAGCTTCTGTTCCAGTCACCTCTCTATGTCAAAAAAATGACCCTCCTCACCCTGGCTGGTGTGGCTCACTGGATTGAGTAACGGCCTGCAAACAGAGGGGTCGCTGGTTCCATTCCCAGTCGGGGTGCATGCCTTTGGTTGCGGGCCAGGTTCCCAGTGGGGGCAGGATATGAGAGGCAGCGGCACACTGATGGGTCTCTCCCTCTCTTTCTCTCTCCCTCCCCTCTCTAAAAATAAATAAAACCTTTTTAAAAAAATGACACTTCCCTTGCACCCTCCCCTAGGACGGCGGGAAGCAGCTCCTGGAAGGCATGTCGGACAACAGGACCCTCCTGCAGTTTGACTTGCGCCTGTCAGACATAACCCAGGAGAGTGAGTACCTCATTGGCCAGGCCCTCTGTGCCAACCGCGAAGAAGCCCGCCAGCGGACCCTGAATCCCAGCCACTTCCTGTCACCACTCACTGCCAAGGGCCCTGAGAACCCTGCCAGCTAAGAGAGGGGACAGGGCTGGGGCAGGGCTGGGGTAGTGAGGGGGCCTGGGTCACGGCCCCACCACCACCCCTCGTTGCCTGCTTCCCCCTTCCCGCGGCAGAGTGTCACACTGACCCCTCGGGAGGGAGAGGGGGACTGTGAAGATCCTTGGAGTGTAATCAAGGGTCGTGTGCATAAAGGTGTGAGGAAGGCAGGGGGCCTAGGACAGGGGAGAAAGGGCATAAAGTGGGAACCAGCCCCCTAGCCAGGTAGAACGTATTACCCCCTAAAACAAATGATTTCTTCCAGGTATAGGGAGAGGCAGAGAGAACTCGGAAGGGCTGCCTGCCCAGACTCTCCCACAGGGCCACCCATGTCCCTGACCCCCATCACCACCATTTCCTCTTTACTGAACAGATCCCTGACCTCCTTCGAACAGACACATACATACACACATTCATTCATTCATTCTCCCTGCCCTGGTCCTGCTACAGCAGAACTGTGCCCGGCTCTTCTACCCTCAGCCCCGCAGATGCTGCCTCCCTATTACTTGACTCTGCTTGAGTAACCCAGTTCTACAAGCCATGGCATCGCCCAATCCTTCCCCACAACCTGGGGAGGGGAAAACAGCGCTGAATGCAATGGGGGGGGGGGGTCATACCAGCATCACCAGAGAGAGAGCTTCTCTTGGGACGGGAAGATGGTGGGGGAAGTGCCACGCTGGGGAGGGAAGTCAGTGAGTCATCCAAAACTTTATTATCCACCAGTTTGATTTGTACAATCTTTGCGCTTGGAAATCCACGACAGAAAGGCCACAGTGTGATGCACCCAATTGACAGAGACCTGTCTTCTCCCAGCCAGGCCCAGCCTACCCCACAAGCCCTTGTCCCCAGGACACCCGGAGCCTACCGGGCCCCTCCACAAGGCCCCAGCACTCTGTGGCTGCCCACCCTGGAGCCACACCCACAGAAACCATATCAACCCAGGGGGCCATGAGAGGACCTGACTGACGGATTCAGGCTGAGCCCCATCTCCCATCCTCCTCAGACTGAGGGGCCCCACAGCCTGCAGATCAGTTTTCAAAGTGTGGGCTGTAGGCTGCAACCACAGCCTAGAGGTGCCTGCTCTCTGGGGGCTCCTCCCAACAAGCAGGCGCTGAGCAGAGCACCAAAGGGGGCTTGGGAGTGACTGCAAATGTGTGCCTGTCCGGGCGACCTCGAGTCTGTCTATGCCTGACACCCTCTGACAGTTCCAGAGTGCAAATGTGTAGGTGCGAGGGTGAGCATGTGCGTACGTAGCCACAGCTGCTAGCAGAGGTTCTAATTAGAGAAACAAGAACATTCAGCGTAAAGTTTAATTGTAGATTAATTTTCTGGTTTTCCTTTTCCCTGGCAATCAATAAAGCTACCAAGGAAAAAGCCCCAAGAACTGGTTTCTAAGTCTGTGCGTGTGTGGGAGATGAGGCTGTCTGTGTGAGACACCTAGGCAGGAATGGTCAGTACAGGCAAAGTAGTAACAGGGGCCCTCTTTACTTTCTCCCAGCTCAGGTTTTGCCTCAGAACCCATCCTGAGGGAGGAGCTGAGTTCCTCCCTCCTTGGAGCCAGGAGGTGGCCAGGCTGCCCCCACACAAAGGGCAAAATGGCCAGGTGCCAGCTGGCCAAGAACTGGGGCCTGAGGCCACAGCTCACCATCTGTACCTCACAAAGAGGTACAGAGGAAAGAGGGGTGCTCCGACTGCCAGGCCCCTGAGGAGCACAGACTCGGGGTCCAGGCGGGTTCAGTGCTGGCAGGCAGATGGGCACTGCTGTCCAGGGAATCGTAATGGGCAGCTGTACCCTCCTGCCTAAGCCTCCCCTTCTCTGGCCTTCAACCATCTCCACAGGAAAATAAAGCTCAACCGCCACAGGCCACAGACTGAGGTGTCCCTACAACCTGTGCCTCCCAAGTCCCCAGCGGGGAGGGAGGGCAGGGGAGCCAGAGATGTTGCATAGGTGGAGGCCATGCCCTTGGCGGGTGCAGGCCGAGCGTGGCTGGCAGAAGATGGGGGGTGTTGCAGGAGGGGCAGAAGGAGCTCTGATAGCTCGGGCAAAGTGAGAAGCATCAGGGGTGAGCAATGTTAGGCAGCCCAAGGGTTATCCTCTTCAACTTGAAATATAGCTCAATCTCTAGGCACTAAGTCTGCTGGGAAAACTTTAGCAGGGGGAGCTGGGAGGGCGGGGCGGAGGGTGGCTGTACACAGACATGCACACTGAAGCACACCAGAGTGGGAGCGGTGGGGAGTGAAAGGGACATCAGAGCTTCGGGGGGACAGGATGTGGGGCAGAGCCCTGTGGTGGTGGTGGGATGCCCCTCTGAAGACCCTGGGACGCAGAGCAGGGCTTTGTCAGCTCATGGGATGGGGGAAGATGGAGGAATTGGGCAAGATTTAGAGAATCTGACTCTGACCCTGCCACTGGAATTGAGTATTTCTTCAGCTGGGGCTTGTGACAAGGTCCTCAGCCCTGCAGAGGTGACCTGTGGGCTACTCCCCAAAGACATGCCCTTCCTTGGAGGTCCTTCCACTCCACCTCCACTGCCCTCTCCTCTGACTCCCATCGTGATTCCAGAGCTCCCCACTCAGTCGTTCACTTTGACTAGCTTTATGGAATGCTGCTTGGGTGGGGTCTCACCCTCTTTGAAGGGAGTGCCTTCCTAGAACCTGCCCAGAGGACTGAGAAAGCACTGAGGTGCACTGCCCTGCCCTGCCCGCCGCCCTGGCAACAGCTCTTCAGAGCCAGGAGCAGGAGGGAAGGGAGGCCAATGATGTCTCTGTCTCTCCAGGATCCGGACTCCGGGGGCCCAGTGAATAAACAACAGTGGTGGGAGTGGCAGAAAGGACCGCCCCCCCCCCCCCGTCTTTGTGCCACGTGCCAAGGAGAGGATAGCAACATTTCCACGGTTTTGAGATGGGGCTGGGGCAGGGTGACACCTGGTTCCGGCGCAGACCCACTGAATTCATTAGCTGGTTAGAAGCTAGCCCTGCTGTTCACCAATCCAGGGCCCCCCTCGGCAGAGACAGACCCTGGGAAGCCAGGCAGCAGAAGAAGGACAGCCCCAGGTTCCCTTCTCCTGCTCCGAACCTCCCCCCGCTGCACAGCAAGGGCCTCTCACTTGAGACGAGACCCAACTCGGGTCCCACGGCACAGTCGCCACGGAACAGTCAGAAGATCCGTTGAAAGGCTGGACGGGAAATCCAATGTGCGTCTAGGAAAGAGAGGGGTACCCTCAGGAGTTCAGGGGCGGGGATGAAGGAGACGACTCTGCCTCGGTGGGATTCTATAAGAACTGCTGACCCCCTCCCACCCATCTGTGTGTTTATGTACAGGGAAGGCGCGGGTCTCATCCCCATGGAGTCTGTCCCGCTCACCCTTGCCTCCCCCAAACATCCTCCGCGCCCAGCACTGCCTCGGTCATCATCGTGACTCCCCCTGCTACAGGCAGGGAGCACAGTACGGCGAAGGGCAGGAGGGAGAATAGCGGGCTGATCGCGGGCCTTTGGTCACAGTGAGGTCTCCACGCAGGAGCCATGGCGGTGCAGCGGCCGGTGGCTGTGGCCCAGACATCCCTCTTGCCGGTGCACGATGAGCACCGGAAAGTAGAGGGCGTCGTGGTAGGGCGGCGGCGGCCCGGCCTCCTCCTCGTCGTCGTCCTCGTCGTCCCCCATGCTGGCTTGGCTCGACAACCGCGTCTGCTCCGTGGGACAGCTCGCCTCGTTGACGCTTCCACTCCGGCTGCGCCACAGGCAGCTGCGCCGCGAACCGTAGAGGCGGCCGAGCGAGAAGCGGCTGCCCCCGCAGCCAGGCCCTCCGCCGGGCCCCGGGCCGACCCGCGGGCTGGCGCAGATGCTTAGGGCGCTGCGCGAGAAGATGGACGAGCTGCTGACCGCGCGCTGGCAGTGCTCGCAGCTGCGCCGGTACGGGGCCACGCCCGCCGCGCCTGGGCCGCCCACCCCGCCGTAGCGGCACATAGGCGCGTAGCCGCCGGCCGCGTCCCCCGCGCCGCGCGCCCCCAGCCCGGCCAGGTCCATGAGTACGGCCTCTGAGTAGCTGGGCACCAGCTGCTGGTTGGAGCGGATGTGCCACTCGAGCTCCGTGCTGTCCACCGTGTTTACCCGCGGCAGGCGGTGGGTGAGCGGGGGCAGCAGCTCGTCGCTGGGGCTCAGGCCGCCCGCACTGCTGGCGGAGCCCGGGCCCTCCAGTCCGAAGAGCTTCTCCACGTGGTAGTGCGCATAGGCCGTGCGGTACTCGGCCAGCACGCGCAGCGGCCACGACAGCGTCAGCAGCGCCGCAGCCCAGAAGGCCGACGAGCAGGCGTACCACGGCGGCCTGGCCGGGTCCGGGAAGGCCACCATGAATTCGCGGAAGTCCACGTTCTTGAGGTGCATGCCCTCGCGCGCCTCCATGTAGTCGTCCAGGCCCTCGTTCTCAGCGAAGAAGCGCGCCCGCTGGCACAGATATGCGTTCTCGGCCTCCACACTGGCGAAGCTGAAGCACTTGGTGAAGCGCAGCCGTGTGGCCGGCGCGCCCTCCAGCCCCACCAAGGCCTTGGACACGTCGCGCACGCCACAGCGCGCGTAGTCGAACTCGGCCTCTGCCACGTGCGTGTTGACACGCTCATGATAGACCTGCGGCGTTGGGCAAGGAGACGGGTCTCTTATGTCTCTGCTCACCCTTGTCCATCTGTCCCATCGCTGTTCTCATACGATCTGGTCAGAACCTAAATCTATCCTGTTTCTGATCCCTGTTAGAGTCGGGTAGGATCTTCTCATCTGGTTTATAGAGACACTGAGGCCCTCAGCTTCATCAGTGACTTAGATATGAGGGCAGGGATTCCACCTCATCCCTACCTGTGTGCTTTCTCACTTTAATTAAGCTCTGATTCATCTGTAGGTCAAGCCCTGGCCATGAACTCCTCTTTGGGCCTGCCCGACCCTTTTGCCACTGTTTCCATTGTCCTGCACGGCCCCTCGTCACTAAAGCCTGCCTGTCTTCCTTTTCACTGTGTGTTTCCAAATGGGTCCTCCAGAGGAGCTTCCTCTGGAAGGCCTTTGTCTCTGGTCTCCCTATTCCCCACTTAGCAATTGCCCCGCCCCCCTCCTGATTCTCAAGGCCCCAGGCTTCTGTTACTTATCCCAGTACTGGGACAAGGTCACCCTGATCTTGGAAAATCTCTTCCTCCTACTCTTCCTCCAGGGCACTTACCAGGTCTAATCCTGGAGGGACCAGGATTAGACTGATTGACAATACCCACCACCACTACTTTCCCTGCGCCCTCCCACGCCTACCTCCACCTTTTTGCCACCTCTGGGAGCCTTGGGCTTGGGATCCAGGGCTCTGGGTTTGAGTCTACCACTACCACTGGGAAGCTGCAGCTCTTAGGCAAGTCCTTGAGCTAAGGTCTTCTTACTTGTGAAAGAGGACTTTGTTAACAGCCGCCTCACTGAATGGGTGACAGTGTGCTATGAGACTGTGCGTGTGAAGCAGTCTCCAATCATTAAGCACTAAACAGTACAGACCCTGGAGCAGACTGCCTGGGTTCAAATCCCAGCTCCCTCACATACTATCTGTTTGAATTTGAGCAAGTTACTTA